GTAGATGTATCAACGAGGTCTGTGCAGAATGTAATGTTGCTCCTAACTTTAACCAATATTTCTTTTTTAAATTATCCCCTTTCTTTAAAGCTGTTACTCTGATCTATATAACATTCTGTCGCCTCAAGAGAAGAAATTGTCCGAGCAAACTATTTGGTTAATTCGTAAAGAGAGAGTAGTTGTTTATATCTATGGGTTAACAGAGAAAAACGTTGTGATGAAGGAACAACGTGAACTGATTGCACAAGCAGTTGACAATCGCCTCTACTGTTGGGATCAATGGACAAAAGTTGTGTTCGGGGAGGGGGGGGGCACTCGTGGCCTAGAGGTTAAGGTGTTCGCCTTCGTTCAACAGCGGAGCGCCTAACCGCAACATTACAGACGTTGGTGAAGTAATAGATATACAGTAGGAATTTTTAAGACGGCCACTTATTATCGTAAAGAAAGTGATTGTTTTAGACGGGTGAACGCCCTGGACAGTGTCATTATAATAATTTTAAAAAACGCCAAAACGGGTGGGGTGGGAAGTGATCGTTTGTACAGGTGACTGTATTCAACAGGTGGTCGATAAAAAAGGTTACTACAGTACCATCAATAGTTAGTCTGACTTTGGCTGATATTGTACATAACTTGCAACTAAAATGTACAGAGTGCAAGCATAAATGGGGACTCTCGTGGCCTGGAGTGTTCACCTCTTATTCAAAGATCCCAGATTCGAATCCGGGAAGCGACGGGAAAAATGTTCTTCTATAAAATTATCTTCTTTCACCTCTTTTTCTGCTCTCTAGCAATGTTCTGCCGTCTGCTTTCCTCTCCACTTTCTGCCCCCGCCCCCTCACCTCCTTTGCCCCCTCCCCTGGGCTCCGGAGTCTTTCTGTAGCCATTCTACTTCTATTCCCTGGCCCCTTATTGCTGTCTTTCAGCCACACCCCTCATCTTCAGGTAGGAAAGATCTACACCTAGCCTTCTCGGACAAGGGCGAAAAATCTCGGAGGTCCCGAGTGCAAGTTGAGCACGTTAAAGATCCCTTGGTGGTCTAAAATCGATAAGAGTAGGCTTCGGCCGCCACCCCGGCAAAATTAAAAATCTTTTGCCAACTGAAAGATGTTTTATGTGTCCCGCGCTCTCATATGACTGTATGCAGTTGGGGGAGGGGGGGGGGTCGTAAAACATTTACCAAATTTATGTATATGTATATATATATATATATATATATATATATATATATATATATATATATATATATATATATATATATAATATTAAAGTGATAACAAGCTGGAGAACAAAAGAGTAAAATGATCCTCTGTAGGAATGTTTTTGATGCTTTTTTTTTCCTGACAGCACATTTCTGCAACGATTTTACTACCAGAATAAATTTCTGTTTGAAAAAAAGCCCCCCAAAAATAGAAGGGTAAATCTCTCTGGAAATTTTGTACAGCGT